GAGAGAACGTTGTACATATAGGGTGACTGCGTGAGTAATGATGCAATTGTGGCAATGAAAATCGCGAGAAAGATAGATTGATTATCTAAACAGTAAAACTGAAAACGTGATCGTTATATTTCACCCGAAGTATTCTGAATTGTTGAAAACAACTAAAAATAAGTAGTTTTAACACAATGGACATAATATATGACGGATAATTGCTTTATATTTACGGATACTTGCTTTATATGCTTAAATATTTCCTTTAATATCATAAGTCACGGTTTAATAGCTATTATAAGTTTTAGAAATCTTATAGCCCATAGTTGTTTAACATTTTCCTTTTGATTAAAATTATATTGTTTGATAAAATAAATTATTTTTAACACCTGCACTCTTAATGGCATTTTCAGTGGCAACCACTGAGATCAACAACCTTTGCTGGAAATCATTCATAAAATAGCATATTATGGCACACACCGTTCTCCTCACCTGTCCTCACCGCCCCACCACAACGCCAGTCCTCCAGCTCGCCCTCTCTTCACTTCCTCACCGGCCCACTCTTTCTGCTCGACCCAACCTATTTGTCCTACCTGGTCGTCCTCCCTTGTGACGCCATAATATAAAGTATGTGGCCAACTTGAAAACTGCTTCTGAAATTTGTTTCCAAGTAAGTTTCAATTTGGTTCTTTTATAAATTTATAATGTTCTTTTACATAAAATTGCTTTATTGCTCACCTACAATACTAAAAGCTCGCCTTTAACATCGCTCGTTTTGAAAACAAGTATGTATACAATAAAGCATAACATTATGAACTAGTTGCGATATATACTAATTCTAGTTCATGTATGTGTACAATAAAGCATAACATTATGAACTAGTTGCGATATATACTAATTCTAGTTCATGAAGTTTCATACCCATTATTCAGTTTACGTCTTTCGATCGCATGTAATTGTGTGCTTAAACAAATCACGTGTTATGATTAGTCACGTCTTAAGCTAATATGACCATTTGATAATATAATAATTTAAAAATATTGTATATGATTTGTTCCATATTTTTTCATCAAAGGGTTACAAGAAATACATATATTGACTTTGATGGTATCAAATTGAAAACATATTTTGTTGAATTAATATTATTCAAATAAATATTGTGTCTTATTTAATTAAATCAATTCTATCAATTTACTGAATTATAAAATACATGTTAATCTTTTGAGGGGTTGTCCATTCACGAATTTTTGCTGTCATGCATTTCGCACTAAACTATTTTGTATTTCTATGTGCTCTACAATAGTGTTTTTTCTTTCCTTCTGAACCGTATGGTTTGGTCTTGACCTGACCTTTCTTTACAACAAAACTGAATTTTGAAAAACTCCATGACATGTAAAATTATGACTCGAGCAGTTTATTTGAACACGACACGGTGGCGGCGATGTTCACACTGTATCGTACCCTTTGTCCATTCAGGTACCGTTTGGATATATGACTTTATGATTCAACTGCGTATACGTGAACAATGTAAAAGTGTCTGTTACCACAGTTATCGCCGCCCTGCGTATTTATGACTAGAATTTTTATGGCTGCCGCCCAGCGTACACAGAGAAAGTCTTTCACGAGCCACGTAATGGAGATAAAAGCACCTACCTTTTTACTGTGCGATTTCGATTATGACATCTGCGCATCCGCTTCGGCGTGGCCGTTTTAGGTTATTAACCCAGTGGGAGATAATATTAATTTTGTTACACTTTTCGTATATTTTGGTCCACATGAGCTTTAAGTGTATTTGTACTGTTAAAATATTGCACGCGAGATCGAATTGTAATTTTGAGAATGTGTTTTCATATTGTTCGCCATTTAGTGACAAATTAATTGCGAAGTCTATATTAATTTAATAAAATGAGAACAGTTGAAAGTTACAGTTAGAAAAAGAGAGAGAGATTATTTACTTCGTTTACAAACTAGAGGTGCTACAACTGCACTTACTTTCTCGCACTATTGGAAACGGTTATTTAATATTATAATATTGCAATTTGTGCCCTAATAACACTTTAGTTATAACGTTAAAAAGTCCAATACAATTCAAATAAAGCGTTTGTGATGATCACCTGCATTTATTTTGATAGTGAGGGACAGTAGTAATTTCTTGTTTCTACAAACTAAACGGAAGGTTGATTAAATTCTTGCTCACATTGTTCATAGACAAACGGTCAAGTGTTTAGCCATCAACCGATTTTTCGTTATCAAAGACCTATCAAGCGTGGATTCTGACTAAACAACATTTTAGAGCAAGTAATGTACTACATATAGGAACACGATTTAAACATTTTTTTGTTATCAGTGACCGACGAGAAAAGTTTTTCTGTCGAATCATTTTCTTACAGCATTACTATACTTTCTTTATACTGCCTAAACGTTTGGTGAGAAAGTAAAATACGTCTGGTTTTCAAGTTACAGATTTAGGGTGATATTTAAGTATCTTTTCGCGATATTATTTTCTTCTTCTTCTCCATATTCCAGTTTTCTCCCTTACACTTACATGCACTCCACTACCATACGTTTCGGGAGCTTAAAGTTTGTCCTGGCTGAACAGAGAAAACTTTGCAACCGAATTGTAGATCGACACCGGATCTCATAAACAATGAATGGTTAAAAGTTAATATTCAAGTACCGGGAAAGGTCACTTGAGACATCACCTGATTTCACTGCAGTGACTCTGACCGCGAGGTCTTACAGTTCGAGGTATGACGTCAGGATTTTAAGCACATGCAAGAAGCCTGAGACGAATTCAGACGCTGCCTAGATGAGAATTCTAGCAGGTCAACGGTTTCTCTGATCAACACTAGGCGAAAGCCGGATCAGTACCATAACAAACGGGCTACGATCACGTACGATCTTTTTATCCCTCGTCATTCTCCTATCCTCATCCTTTACTTACATACCCACATACATACACACTGCCACACTTGGCGGGAGACCGTCCAGGCTGGGGTGGTGTCCCGCGTGTGAGAGAGAGAGACCTGGTTGAGAGAAACCCCGCAAGCCGACGGGCAGGACGGTTCTGCGTGTTGCCATCCAGTGGGGAAGAGTTACAGCCACCTCCCGTGGTAAGAAACGTGCACTACACTTACAGGAATCGCAACCCCCCGAAATAGATGCACTGGCAATACTTAATGAAGCACTCATTTTTCAGTGACCCCACCACCCTCGCAACCAAAAGGCAGAGAGCACAGTGCGCGTGCTCGGGCACTCACCGCCTGGAATCGCGCGAGAAGTCGAAGGAGTCCGAGTCGGAGAAGAGCACGTCCACGTCCAGCTCGAAGCCCCTGAGCGGCGAGGGCGCGCCCTCGGCGTGCAGCGGGACGCTGAAGGGCGACGAGTGGAAGGCGACCAGCATCTCGGGGCCCCGCGACACCACGCGCGGCAGCCAGTCGCCGCCGCAGAACTTGACGAGCACGGGGTCGTCGGTGCTGGCGCCGTCGTAGAAGATGAGGTGGTCTCGCTCGCCCGTGCACTCGCCCCACGTGCGCAGCGCGCGGCCCGTCTTGTTGAGGGAGGCGACGGCCACGGCGCGTTTGATCTGCACCTGGGCGCACCCCACCCGCGTTACCTCATCAGCGCTGCGCTCCGCCCTGGCTACGGGTGGGCAGGTGCACTCGCCCGTCTCCAACCCTAGGCCACGACTTCGCCAGCGGCCGAGATAAGCAAAGCACGGTCGAGCGCACTCGCCCGTCTGCATCTGGGCGCACCCCACCCGCATTACTTCATCAGCACTGCGCATCGCCTTCGCTATGACTGGTCAAGTGCACTCGCCCGTCTACAATCCACGCAGGACATGTCACCGACCCTAGGTCATGCCTTCGCCAGTGGCCGAGATGAGCGAAGTGTGGTCGAGCGCCCTAACCCGTCTACATCTGAGCGCAATCTGCATCTGAGTTTGTTGTACTTCAGAAATTGATTGAAAAATGACTGGTACGAGGTTAGTTTGTTTGCATAATTATGGTCCAGACAGTTAGTAGACAGCCTGGTACAACTATTTAGGGGGTGTTGGTATTCTTGCTACCTTTGTCGCCGGATCATAAGACATTTTACGATTTGCGAACCTTTAGTGGCAAAGTTGAAACGTCCTCTATGTTTTTCAATGTAAAAGTTCGTGAGCAAAAGTTGTGAGATGAAAATTGGAATAAATTAAACTACAAAATTTCTAAAGCACGAGGTAGAAGATTTACAATAATTTGTAATTCATATTTACGAACCAAACTTTGAAATATTCTGGATTATTTTGTAATGGTAAATATTAAAATAGAATAGAAGTTCATACACTTAAAGGTTCAACTTCGAGTGCCAATACAATGTAACCCCCTGTCTTTATGATGAAAAATATTCTGATTGGCTGTCGACGTCTGCTCGATTCATAGTAGCCAACCTTACATTATTGTTCTAACATTTTCAGGAGTAATAAAATATTATTTATTCTTGAATGTTCTGGTCTCTATAATGTAAGGAATTGTCTGAAAATGGAAGAAAACTTTAAAACATTGTTCAAATTTCACAAGCGGAGTGTCGAGATATTGAAACTATTAGAAATGATCAAATTTAGAAGAGTTATATAACTATTGAGTATGAAAATAGTACATAAGTGGGGTTGAACATATACCTTGTAATTTGAGATTGTATGTGTGACACGCTCATTTTTTATTAAAACTGTTGTTTTTATGTTTGTATTGTTGTTACATGAATGACAAGGTTTGGTGATGATGTTGTCATAGTGTAACTTTAAATAAATTAATAAAATACAAATACTATTGAACTGTAATTTTCTGAATATTAAAAACTAAACAAATATGCCTATAAAGTCGTATGAACCGCGTTGGGGGTCTGAACGTTCTCCAATTTCCTCTCCCCCGAAAATCGACTCCCCTGTACGTGACCCAGCACAAAAGTTGCCATTGGCCGCTGTCAAAATTAATCATGTCTCTCAGAAGCGGAATGACGGGGCTTTTCTGTGATTTAACAAGTTTGATGCTGTTTGTGTATGATACTGTCTGTTTGGTTTTGCGATTAGCGTATTTAAATGCCGGTCTCGCATTGCAATGTAAATTGGCCCCGGGGGTCAGAGGTCGTTGGTTTCCCTTTCCTAAACAAGCCCCATATGGACGGGAACTTCCCCGACTTCATTGCGGGTGACTATTCATTGGATGTAGTTTATGAGGGATGATAATTGAATACGGAATTGTATTGAAACAGATAAAAAATAGGCCCTTCCTCATCACTGGAAATGTGGATTTTATTTTTCATGGACACATTGATACATACTGTAGGTTGAACTATTTTAAATGTATCATGTAATGCCATGGACACAGCGTAACTTAAAAGATTTCGGAGGGAAAATACGAGCGCATCTGATGTAACATTAGAAAAAATTGTCTTGTTCTCCTTAAATAAATTTATATTTACATCACAGGTTTCAAAAAAATATTTGATAATTTGTGTACAAAAACGTATACGAGGTCACAATTTTCTTTTGCTTAGGACAACCAATAATGAAATATTAAACTTTGTATTTGACTGTGTTAAACAGTGTTTAAAGAAATAATTGAAATATTAATATAATAAATCTAGGAAATATTTAGTAAAGAATAAATTTTTAACTTTAAAATATATTGCACATTTGTATTTCTAACATTTTTGTAAAAATCTCATTACGATGTTACTAACGTAAGTTAATTTGTTTTTCAATTTAGTATCTCTTCAAGCTCAAATCCTCATTCACTTTTTGCCATTAAATGGCATACAAAGAAAATACAGAAAAGTTTAATTACCGGTGTGAACAAACAACATAACGCACAAATCTATCGCATAAATTAACAAGTTCAACCGTACATTAGTTTCATCTTTTATCTTCCGATCATATCTCTGGTCAGCCTTGCGACACGAACTGCAGTAGCCGTCTTTCCAGAGATCCGGCGCGGGTCCGCAAGCAACCATTTCCAACAGACGGCTGGAGATTCCTGTTCGTTTTACTGGATCCGGGAGGTCGTAAGGGTGTTTACGGTCGCCGTAAAGATGGCTTTTTATTGAACGGGTATTATTTAAGGGGGAATGTGCCAGCAAATGGCTGGGAGAGAGCGGGGGTCTTGGGAAGGGAAGGCAAAGAAGGAGTCGCTATGTTGTCTAATGGCTCAAGCGCCATTCGAATTAAAATGATCTCGTGAAACTGTGTCTGCTCTGTAATACCCCAAAGGCACTGTCTCCTAGAAACGCTCGTTAAAAAGTACCTTTCATGTCTTACGTTAGCGCGCTTTTTCAGATAATTCAATTTTTTTGTGCGTTATAAATGCGAAAGTTCTATGAGAACACTCAATTATGCAGAGGCCAACTCTTAGTTATGATTCTACTCAGCCAGCGGGGATACAGATAAACGACGAAATGAAACATTTTGTTAATGAATGCATGTTAGCTTCGTTGTTAGATGTTTTTTCATAAACTTTGTCTACATTAACAAACGCCAGTCACTCGAATATTACTCGTACATTGCGTTAAATGGCTTCTCCGAAACCTGTCGATACATTCGCGATTCATTCGAAGAAAGCGATTTAAAACTGCCATTTCTTTTAAAGGCTTGATTCTTTTACGCTTTCAAGACCATCGTTGATATTTTATAAATACGGGTATTTCACACATTAATATGAATTCATGTTTAAAAGAAACACTATGTAATTGAAATATAAAAATATATTTATGAACATGTAAACGAATACTAATTTCTGGGTCATAATATCTTATTTCAAGTGGCAATGAATAATGACTTCTAGATTAACGATCTTTTTTTGATAATATTTATCAACAAATGAATCAAGATTAATTATCAAAATGAATTGCGGAGAGTCATATCTTCTATACATATTAAAACGTAAATTATGCAATTGCATGATCACAATATTTTTATACGGTTCCAACACACATAAAATGGTCCCAATTGAAGAAAGGAAAAATATCCCAATGTTGTTATTTGGATATAGTGGTCTTCATTTTTCATGAATTACTAGTTAGGAGGTCTTACATTCATTGATCTCTCTGGTGTTAAATGTATTCAGAATAATTGTGAATGCTAACAAAGAACGTATTGCGCAGAGTTATGGTCAAATGAGTGTGAGAGTGAGCACGTGGGCCATGAGTGCGTGGGTGGGCGAGTGTGTAGGCGAATGTGTACGTGAGAGGATGTAGAAGAGATTGGGCGAGCGTGTGGGCAAGTGCGTGGGCGAGCGTGTGGGCGAGCGTGTGGGCGAGTGGGTGGGCGAGTGTGGGGGCGAGTGTACGAGCGAGAGGGTAGTCGTGCGGATGATGAAGTGTGTTGGCGTGTAGGTGGGATCACGGGTGGGCGGTGGGTGAGTGGCGATTGGGTGGACGAGTGAACGGGCGCGTCGGCTGGTGGATGCCCGCAGCGTACCTTGTGCGCGCTGTCCTGGCGCACGGAGATCATGGCGTGCTTGCAGTTGGGCACCGTCTTCTGGCGCAGCGTCAGGTAGCACGTGACGTTGCGCGGGTACATGCCCGGGTAGTTGGGCGACTGCAGGCGGCAGCGCTTGCGATAACACTCGTAGAAGTTGCGGCTGCAGTACGTGCCGGGCACCACCTGACACACGCACAGCGCACACATGGTGACAGGGCGCTCCGGAGGATACATCCTTCACATCATAACACAATAATCGCCCCTTTTCAGAATCTCTCCTTTTCAGATCGTTCACTAAATGCATTATAATACACCATTCTGCCATTTTTAGAATAGAGTGACCCTTTTTCAGAATATCCCTTTTTCCTTTCGTTCACAGAATGCAGCATCATCATACCACAATAATTTATCCTTTTCAGAAAATGTATTTGATGGCAAAGAGTGTTTTTATTAGTTTTGAATAATTAATTAGATTTATGACCGGTTCCGACGAGTATACAAATAAAAACGTACTAAAGGTTCTAAATTAAAAACGATCAAAGTATACGTTATTCATTACGTTATTCAAAACGTTAAAAATGTTATTCAAAACATTCACGATTATTATGTTATAATTTGCTTAAACGCGTATAAGCAAATTAAAAAAATCTGTTAGTGTCACTGTTAAATCATTCTTCAGATGCATAAAGGAATATAAATCCTTAGAGATATTGCAAAAATAGTAACATAACTAAACCAATAAAAAAGAACGATAGATGAGAACTGATAATAGATGATAATTGCTAATGATAGATGAGAAAATAATAGCTAGCTAGCTTCCTTTGAGAACAATCTTTTCATACAAAGAAAAACAAAAAAATAAAACGGCCACCAAGAATGATTAATGGAAAGAATTCAATCAAAAGAGGAGGTATGTTGAGAGGGATGGAGGGAGGCTGGCGAAAAAACAACTGTTATCAGTTATACGCAAATCAAAATTGCAAAAAATTGTGTCTGCGGGCAAGGTCACTCAGTAACGTCTGGGGAGAATATACTTCGTAGCAATGATTGTTTTCAAGGTATTGCTGAGACATGAGTCCATGACTTAGAACAGATAAACGACAAAAATAAAATATTACATTACAGAGAGGATACTTGATTGAAAATACACCTTATTAACGTAAGCTAATGTTCCGGTCCTAAATATAAGGTAAATTGTGCGAGTGGTGTACGTAGTGCAAACTGCAGTAAAGGTGAACTCGTAGCTCCTTGGTGACCTTCGGAGGCGGGAATTTTGAGACTCGCAACGAAAGGGGGGGGGGAAGAAGACGCATCAACTAATACGTAACGCGACGCGGTACATGGAAGGAAAGAAGGTTGATTCATCATTCACCACATTGAGATTGAAACACAAATAAGGATTGAAAGTGTAAGATGATGTAGCCTCTTCTTCCCAATTTCACTCAAGAATCAGGAGTGTCCGAGAAAATAAGAGGAGTGACCCTTCAACACTTACGTAGCCGCTCTCGACAAACAAATGACGAGAACGAAAATAGACGTATGTGCTCGCTCTTACCTTCACGCGCGCGAGACCCGGGAGACGATGGAAAGGGAAGTGAGCACCATTCACATCTCTGCAACTAATACTGCTAACGGGACGGAAGGAAAGGACGCAGAACAGCGTACACCTTCAACATGACGCTTAAGAGACCGAAAAGGGGAGAGCGCAGGTTGTCGCTCTCCGCTCAAAGCAAAGTAGAGTCATTCCCACTAAATATCCGCGCTGGAGACTCAGGGGGAGACAGTAAAGGAAAACAAGTGTAGCCAATGCCATTCATAACCACATGCACGAGATTCGGATGGAGCCAGAAAAGAAGTAAATTCAACTAATGCCGCTCACCCATCTTACACTCGAGACTCAGAAGGAGCCTGGAAGGGTGGAAATGCAGCCAGTGCTACACATCTCCTTGCGTCAAGAGAAGCCATGAAGCACGGAAAAGCAGACGTGGTACTCACTCCCTAGCGCTTGAGACTCAAGAGAAATCGGAGGAAAAGGAAATGCAGTTATTGCCGCTCACCTTGCGCTCGAGACTCAGAAGGAGCCACGATGAAAAGACATGGGTGAGCTATTGCGCATTTTATTCGACTTCAGCCAAATAGTTTCAAGCACCGCCTTGCGTCACAATATTAGCGGGAATTTTAAAAGCAAATTATCACAAGTTACTGAAACTGACATATGAAGCGTTTTAACATATTTTATTTCAATTAATCTTCATAGTTTTATTAGTGGATGGTCACCGTTGAAAACTGTCACTGATGCCTCTCAACATTTCTCTCTCTCCGTGCAACATGGCGGCCACCATCTGGTCTGCTTTGCAAACGAGGTGCTCGTGTTGTGGGCACATATTTCGTGACGCAAACTGGAGCTCCGCAGCAAACGAGCAAATATAGGTGTGCCGGACTAGCTCACCCATATCTTTTATTCATCGGAGGGGCTAAGAAGTAAAGGAAATAATACCAGAGATACTCATCTCTTTGCGCTGGAGACAGAAGAGGATCCAGGAAGGAAAGGAAATTTATCCAGAACCATACTCCATACTCGAGACTGAGGAGGAGGGAAGAAAGGAAAGAGGATGTAACGGGGCCACTCATCTCTTTGCGCTTTAGACATACAAGGAAACTCTAAAGGACTCCAAGAACAGCCAGTGCCACTCTTCTTTCGGTACCTGAGACTGAGAAAGAGGAGGAGCAGCCAGCGCCCCTCATTTTTCAGCGCTCGAGTCTCAGTAGATGACGTTAAAATAGGCCACCTTGAGCTCTTGACTGAGAAGGAATCAGGTGGGGAGTAAATGAAGAAGCGCCACTCACTCTCCCGCGCTCGATACTCGGTGGTAAATGGCAAAGGAAGCTAAGTTCAGTCAGTGACACTCTCCTCCTTGAGATCGAGATTCAGGAGGAATCAGTAGGGAAGGAAATGCAGCGAGCGCCACTCACCTCCCCGCGCTCGAGCCACAGGAGGAAACGCTAACGAACGCCAAGAACAGCCAGTTCCAAACTCCTTCTCTCGCTCGAGTCTGAAGAGGAATCAGGAGGGGAGGAAATGCAGCCAGAGCCACTCCCGCTCCAGCCTCAGGACGAAACGCTAACGAACGCCAAGAACAGCCAGTGCCAAACTCCTTCTCTTGCTCGAGTCTGAAGAGGAATCAGGGAGGGAGGAACGCCAAGAACAGCCAGTGCCAAACTCCTTCGCTTGCTCGAGTCTGAAGAGGAATCAGGAGGGAAGGAAATGCAGCCGCGCCACTCACCTCCCCGCGCTCGAGCGGCGCGCCCACGCTGCCGAAGCGCACCACGGCCTCGTCGCGCCCCACGAACTTGTAGCGCAGGCGGAACTCGAAGGGCGTGTCCGTGTAGACGGGCGACGGGAAGAGCTTGACGGAGACCGTCACGGTGGCCGTCTCGCTGTAGTAGACGGCGTAGCCCGTCGAGCCGCCGCACCACGAGCCGCCGGTGAAGGGCCGGCCCAGCTCCGACAGCTGCATGTAGCCGTCGGGGCAGCCGTCCAGCGCCGACGCCTCGTACCGCCCCACGTTGAAGGCGTCGAAGATGAGCTGCGGGCACACAAGCCAACCGGCTTAGCACACATCTCAAATGGACTCTCAGGAATCGATTACACCGCTCAACAAAACCTTTTGTTTTACTTGCACAGGATTTTGCAACGAATTTACAGTAAATCTGAATCCATATATAACATTAGTTTCTCTCAATTGGCTTTAGCTTTCGCGCTACAAACATTGTAATGAAATATGCTATCACAAAACTGACAGCATTTAACGCAAATATCTATCTTTATACAACCACGGCTATTTTTCATTTTAAACATTGAATATCGGATTATTTTCAGGATACTTTGATTGAGATTTGCCGTATTTATACATGTTTTGTTACAGAACAATGAGTTCTTTAAAAAGACGTTGTTTGCTACATTTGTGGGCAATAAACGCGGAAAAAACAGAAAAGAAGTATTACAAACGTTACAGAAAAACACATAAATAGCATGATTTGGTATCAAACGCGGTGAACAAGATAAATCGTGTGCTCCCCATGTGGTATACAAAACATGTGTGTAGTGTCTTTGTCAGTAGAAATCTGGAGAGCTGTAGAGTTTCAAATTTGGTGTAACTACGGTATGTCGAGAGCACAAAAATTATTATGATGATTGTAATTTTTGTGCTTTAGACGTAAAAGGGTCTCTTCGTGACAAGAAAAAGTGATGGGAGTAACCTAATTTGGAATCAACAAGGCGTCTAATGTCACATGGACCTGCCGCTCCATACCAGCGATTACCACATTTCCTAGACATTCTGGGTCAGATAGGGAGGTTATACAGATTCTGGGGTATACTTCAAGAGTTAGCACAGGCCGTAACTACGATGGAAGTGTTCTTACAAAATAACCAATTCCATATTTGGAATCTGTGCTTCAAATATACCCTAAAATAGCTTTAAATTGTTTGGTGTTGTTTACCAGTGTTATTAGGATGATTAAATACCCTTGTTTTATTCCAAATAACCAGATTGACAGAGTCTTACATGTATCTTCATTAAGTGGCCACATAACACGAATAGCTCGCAATTTTTACTAAAACCTTCACTCAACCCCGTGTTCCTCACTTCTTCTGCGCAATGTTCAATATAGGTTGCAATGCTACCAACCCACGTATCAAATCTAGGTATCTCAAAGACTGATTCAAACCACCATAGTTCTTCAAAACTGTCAATGGAATTAAAACTGAAAGGCCTTTCAACCTCGTTTCATTGAACTCAGCACAATGTACACATGTTCTTCTAAATAATAAAAACCAGTCTTGAAGGATGACCATTTCATAAAAGCTACAAATTGAGTACTGTGTAATTGAACTCAAAAGACAAACTTTGTTGAACCGCAAGAAATACATTTAAAAATGTATTAATTAATTTGTTTCCTAGCGCGTTCAGAACCACTATGATCAATCATCTCGTCACTCTAGTGTAAGATACATCCTGAAATGTGGCGGTGTTCCCTTTTCCGTTGGATCATCGTATCGAGCAAAGACATTTCGACGCTCGTTGGCTTTCGAAGGTTACTCATCCACGTATCTCCTCTAATAGAATAACCGAAATTTTATTATTTTTTCACGTTATTTATGTTACTCCTCAAGCAGTGAAAACCCCTGATAGGGAATCCATGGATGGAGTCTCAAACAAGTGGGAGATATGCAGCGGAGTGGGAGAAAAAGTCCACGCCCGCTCATACCATGATGTGATTGTAAGCTAGATAGGCAAGAAACTCATAATATGTATCTTTATAAACACTCTTTTAACTTTCAGAACATGCACGAAGCAGAGGTTGAGCGGAGTTGGTGCATGGGTGGGAGCAATACTCGAGTACCTACTCCCTCTCTCGCAGTTTGGTCGCCGATTGCGACCACACTGTAGACCCGAATGAGTTAAAGTAGGGTACCGTCCCCGGTCTGGACACGCTGTAAGCGCCCAACTGGTCTCCCGACGCGTGTAGCAATGTAGGGCGTCTAAGTGAGGAGGAGGGGACAAGACTGCAATGGAAAGATCGCGCACGATCCATGGCCCAATGTACTGTGTACTATTATTCTGAATATCGTCGAGAATTTATTGAAGAAACCGTGGAAAACTATCGATCAAACCAGCAGGGCTCTACAACTATCCTCCAGAGAGTAGTTGAATTCTACCGCACTTATGAAGGTAGTGACTGAAGTATAGTGATGGTCTAATTTTCATTGAATCCGCTGAATTTTCGAGAATTGCAAATTTAAAAACAATACAAGAAAGTGTGTGCAGTTGTAAAAAGAATAGTTTTTAAAGGAATGTTAGACAAATTTAGCACAATTCCTAATGAACACGTGAATAAAGATTTCCATATTATTATAAATTAATGATCAATTACCGAAGGAGAGCTACAAATGACCATTTAGACGCTGCATTTTCCACATTAATGATTTATAATTGTGTTCATTGTTGGTAAAATATTTAATATTGCACGGAGTTTTAATAAATTACAAATGCCCTGATATGAAAATAAAACGATAATATTCTAACAATATTTCAAAATTTAGTAACAATTTTCCGCATTGTAAATTATCTCTCTACAAAAAAGCTGCGTATACATGTATTTAGTAAGACAACTTCCCATGTTTGTAATCATATGTAAATTAACCGCTGGGGGCATCATATCTGTAATTCTTTGGTGTTTCAAGAAATGTCAGCAGTCGCAAGCATTTAGCAACACTCACGGAGCACAAAGCCGAATTTAGAAATGTCACAAGCACGCTTTGCATGGCACTTCGGCCTGAGATGAAAGACAAATAACACGCGCTGTTGCTTACTTAGCCCAATGCATGGAATTATTATCTTGTCACGTCATGTTCTCCTGAAAATACGCCATTCCAGTCTTGCACGTGCCTATAGCAGTTATTCCAGTGTTCGGTGACGGCGGCGCTCTCGCAAACGCCGTCGATCGTGGGCCAACGTCAAGGGCGTAAAACAGAGACAGCAACAGCGGCGCAGCAGATAGCAGTAAATCACGGCGAGCGTTAACTGTCATCGACGTCACGCGAATCGTTAGCGCTTGCATCCGACGGCAGCAGTGAGTGACTTCCTGACCCTCCGCTACCCGCCTCCGCTACCCGACTCCGCTTCCCGACTCCGCTTCCCGACTCCGCTTCCCGACTCCGCTTCCCGACTCCGCTTCCCCACACCCCTAACTCCGCTACCCAGCGCCGCTACTTAGTTCCACAACTCCACTCTGCTACCCCGTTTTGCTATCCCGCTTTGTACTCCACTTCGCTGACCCGCCCCACCCAGCACTTTCCACCGCGCTCGAATAGCTCTTGCTACCGCATGCCTCTCAAAAACCGCTTGCGCTACCTCTCATGTCCTATCCGTTCGCCTGCAACCTCTACTCGAATGCGCAGCAATCCTCTCCGACTCTCCCCCGGTGTACCTCCCCAGCAGACATCGTCTCTCACCATCCCCGCTCTCAGGGACATCACGCCCCCTCATTAGCCCTTCCCAAAACCTTGCTCTCCAACGCGAACGCTCTCTTGCTGTCCTTTCCTGTACCATCATGTCTTCTATCCAGGCCCTGCCCACTCTTTCATCTTTCCTTGTTACGTCTCCCTGCAATGCTCTGTCACATTTCTTCACCGTTTGTCATGCTAGTCAGTTATGCTTCCTTGAAAAGCTCTACCGTACGAAACCGCTTTGTTTCATGTCACTTCTTGCCTTCCAGCTCCGCCTCGCTTTGTGACAGCTGAAAATATTAGTTATCCTCTTTTGTAACTAATGTCACTGATGTGCCTCTGAACGGAAGGCCCTATGATGTGAGTCCCGAAGTGGCCCAAACCGCTCGCGTATGTAAAGAACAAACGTATGTTATGTAAAGAACAAACATTTATTATATTTTCATAAACCAAAAAATATTCAAATGAAATTATTCCGTGGGTATCTTCGTATTTATTAATTGGTAGTTTTTTCTCCTTACACTGTGTGTTATGTCTGATTTAAGTGACAAATCATTCCCCACACTAAAATTCCGTCTGAACAGAAATGAACATAATGTTTCATCCTCTTGAATTCTAAAGCGTTGAGCCACATTTTTGCAAGTCAACTCCTCACTAACTTAATGCAGTGTTTGCAGAATGTCCATCACTGTTCCTCTGTGCGCCGCCCTGCAGGCAGCGCTCTCTCGCCTGCCCTTCACCGTGATTCAGCGGGCGGCGCCGCGTGCTATTTGACATGACGCTGGGCGCCGCGGTCGGCTGCGGAGACAGCAGCACCGGCGACACGTGACTACCGCAGCCCGCGCACCGTCATTCCAGCCGTTCACAGCCTCAGTTGCCACCCTCCACCGCCAGCCACAGGTCTACACCACCTCCGCGGTCCAAATTCCTCTCTCCCACTACCATTCCTGGCTCCGACATCTCCGAGACTGCACATCTTCGCCAATACCAACCCCACCATATTCAACCACTCCACCGTAGAGTGCGTTACCATCATCACCATCATTTCATTTGCCGTTGGTACAGCAACCACTATGTCCACTACTAGCATCACCCCAACGTTGACACTAAAGTCACTTTAGGTGATGCTTGCACATTTTTCACAGGTCGACAGTCGCCAATATTTCCATCGTTACCATCACCACATTCATCACCATCTCAGAATTACCTTAACCCATCACCATCACCACCAGTCATCACAATCACCACCAGTCATCAGCATCACCACCAGTCACCAGCATCATCGTCAGTCAATACCATCACCGCCAGTCAACAGTATTATCGCCAGTCAACAGTATCACCACCAGACAACACAATCACCATCAGTTAACACCATCACCACTTATCACCATTCCCACTAGTTATTACTGTCTCCACCATTACTGCCTTCTTCTCGGGGCGCCAGCGCAGCAGAAACCTGAGCCGTTCTCCGAAGCCGCCGGCACGCGCGAGCACTAATTTCTGTTTCCTAGCCCGCGCTATACAGCTTTTGGTAACGTATAACCAATCATATGGCAAATCATTCATACTCCATCA